TGTTATATTCAAGATGTAAGACCATGTTAAAGATGTATGTCATTTTATTTGATCTATGCACTGCTCTTATGGACCACTTGTATTGTAAATTATTGCTTCCGCACATGTTAGCCCCCTATGTAATATTCTGATTGTGTGTGAATTTTGAAAGTTGGCCTTCGGTAATCTCGGATTACTGGCCATCACGGTACCATCCTACTAGGGGCGGTTTGGGGTCGTGACACTAATAGTACTTTCAAAATTGAGTGAGTAAAAATTTAGACCACACTTACTATGAGAGTAATATCTTTTTTTTGACATTTGAAAACTTATATTGAATGATGAAAATGAATATGTCGAGATCTACCTACAAAATAGAGGTTAGTACCTACTTGGCTGTATTATCAACTAAATGAAAATTTAACGCTAAAGTTAGTAATTACTCTCTAAAGAATACTCAACATGACTAATACTTAAATGTTTTTTATTTAAAATTTATTTTTCTCACTCTTTTAGATGAAAAATTATTACTAAATATTTTTAAAAAAATTCTGTATTAGGGGTCTAATTGATTTTTTAGGGATAGTTTAGAAGGTAAAATAATATTATAAATGAAATTTAATATCACGTCAACAAGTGCCGTGTAATTATAGATAATAGAATAAAATTGATCTAAAATTAAATAATTTAAATATAAAATTAGTATAATTAAAAATATAAGGTCATCACGGCCATCACGGTCATCACCCTCCACTCTCAGTCTTATTATTGTAATTGTCATCAACGTTCATTACAATCATTATTTCACAATCACACAATTATTACTACTACTATCACTATTACTATCGCTATCGCTATCGCTATCACTACTGTACCACCATTTTATCGAATGATTATTTCATAATTTTAAAATATTATTTTATATTATTTATTACTTGATATTATCAAATTATTTTTTAAAATTTTAGTAAAAAATACTAAATCTCATGACTTCAATTACTCTTTCCATCTCAAAATATTAGCCCCTTATTCTATTTTTCATTATCTTAAAATATTTTATTTTTCAAAAATCAAGAAATAAAAAATATGAATTTACTATTTTACCCTTGTTTTAAATTTATTAATAACATAAAAAGTACAATTATGACAATTGATATTTTTAAAAACCATATCCTGTCAAATAATAATTTTGAAAAATTAATATTCTTAAAATGCTATAATTGTATTATTAAAAAAATTAATTTTTTCAGAAAAACTATTATTTTAAAACAAAAGAAATAATAAAAATCAAATAAAGGCACCATATAAACTTGTCCATGACAACCACATAATTTTTCCGTTCTACCATGCTTAAGCGTCATTTAAGCGTCTTTTCTAACTCATTATATCATAATATTAAAAATAAATAAGTATATAAATAGACATGACAAGAATTGACCAAAACATGAAGCAATTTCTGTATATTTCTTTAGAGCATCTCCAATGCACTAGGTATATAATGATTGTTAGGTAAAATGCCTAGTATGACTCACTTTTTTCAACTCCAATACACTAGGCATGTAATTAGGCATTTTAGCTCAATTCACATTCACTAGCTACATGTAGCTAGCCTTCAAGGCTAGGCAAAATGTATTTAATCATTAGGATTATTTCCCTCCATCTTTGTTGCTGATGTGGCATTTTATAAAATTAACAGTATTTGGATGAATAGCTAAAATAAAGAGCATGATTGGAGCAAAAACATGAAACAGTTGATAGGCAAAATAAAATGTACACTTTATAGTAATGTTTAGATAGATAAAATGCCTATTACCGTTGGAGATGCTCTTATTGACCACGAAATTCATGCTTCCATACAAAATCATGTTCGGCGATTTGCAACTGGTATCACACCACCGTCACTTAAGCGTCATTTCTAAGTCATTATATCATAAAATTAAAAATAAATAAGTATATAAATAGACATGACAAGAACTGACGAAAACATGCATGAAGCAATTTCTGTATATTTCTTTATTGACTACGAAATTCATGTTTCTATACAAAATTATATAATCATCAATGCTATAAATTAAATATTAATATGTGATTCAAATTTAATATATATATATATATATATGTATGAATCTTATAATATATTATTTAAATTTCAATATTTTATTAATATTCTTAATCATTTTTCTATACAATTTTTTGAATATTTAAACTTTTCAATCACCTAATTTCATTGTCACAAAATTAGGAAAATTTGATTATGAATTATTTTCAAGGGTTAAAGCCACTGTGTAGTTTTTTCTTGGTAAGTGACAGGGACTACTTCCGAAATGTCGGCGACAATTGTATGTGATTTTCTAAAACTTTAATAAATGCATGTTGTTCCAAGGAAGAGGTTCAATAACGGTCTATCAATATCAACTTTCAAAGGTATATGATTGATGGTGACACATGAAATTTCTGTTTCATTTCAAGTCAAAGTTTCATACTCAATAGGGACTGTCATTCTCACCTTTTCCTCTTAATATTATCAAAATATATATATATATATATATATATATTAAATGATTTAGATTCACTACCTACCACCATATTTATTTTGATTATATTAGACCATCTCAACAAATATATATTTGACACATCCCACTTTTCTTACATTATTAAGAAAATGGATTCTAATAGTTGCATTTATAAAGATAGATTAGTGAGGAAAATAATTAGTGTACCAATTAACACACCCATTAGACATAATATTATGTAAGACCACATGTTAGGTGGTAGAATCCATATATATATATATATTTTTTTTAGTCTTAGTGGGTTGATTGGTATATTTATTAGTGTTTCTACCATTACTATTTTCGTATTAATAATGATTGGAATATCAATTAGTGTATCAACTAACACACCAACCAGATACAATATTATGTAGGATCATGTTAAGTGGTGGAACCTATATATATATTTTGTGGTTAGTGCATTAATTGGTACACTAATTAGTATTTCTAGCAATACTGTTTTCGTATTAATAATGATAGAAATACTAATTAACCTATCAACTAACACACTGACAACATACAATATTATGTAAGACCATATTAAACGGTAGAACCTATATGTATGTTTTGTATCTTATTAGTGTGTTAATTGGTACACTAATTAGTATTTCTAATATTACTGTTTTCATATATATTGCCATTCTACCATTACCATTTATTTATTGCAGCATAAAGTTAATCACTCTGTTTGATTGAGATTTTAGATCCAAAAAATTTAGTTTGACCAACAAAAATATCAAAAAATATTTTTAATTTTTAAAAAAAATTATTTTCATCTCAAAATAGAGAAAAGCATATAAAAATGATGTGTGTGTGTGTGTGTGTGTTTTTTTCATTCTTTATACCAAATTAGCTTTTATTTTTATTATTATTTTTTTTAAATTGACACTCAATCAAACAGAATATATATATATATTTAAAAAAATTTGTGAATTTGCAGATGGATAACCTCTACAATGTCCATACAATTTACCAGACTCGTGATAAAAAGGCAATGGAATTTTCAACTCACATTCCTCAAATCTTTCTAAGTTATTGCCAAGCAAATGAGTAGTTGTCCCGTTTGGCCTCTTCTTAAAAAGCAAAAATAATGAAAACTTCAGAAATCTCCATAAGATTCATTTTTATGAGAAAATGATTTTTAAAAAAAAAAAAAAATAAGTGTTTCCCAAAACAGGATATTTATGTTAACGGACCCCAAACAAGTAATTTAATTGATTTTTTATGTTAACAGAAATTGACAACATGCATGTAATGTTATTGAAGAAGACAAGAAAAAATCCTTAATGCTGTGTTTGGTTGGGAGATTTGGAGAGGGATTTGGAAAGGGAAAGGGAAAAGGTGTGTGAAACTAAGTGAAATGTAGGTATATTTTATTCACATTTCACCTAACTTTTTCCTTTCCCTTTCCAAATCCCTCATCAAATTCCCCAACCAAACACAACATAAATTGTTAATCCAATAGGCATAGAGAACGAAAGTAAGAAGAGAAAATTTTCATTTGGCAGCAAACGCAAAAGGTGGTGTTATCGTGTGACGCTTCCAAGACAAGCAAACCAACTTTACCTATCAATGTTTTTGTGGGGAAAGTACATGGAAATGACAGAGCAAATGCTTTGCCTCCTACAAATCTGTTGTCTTGTTTAGCAATTAAAGAAACCCCCCAACATTCTTGTTTCGTGTTTGCCTCTAAATATAAAGGCCACTACAATTCGACAACAACCAGTGTTTTCTGACACCAAGTCTAGGTACTCTTCTTGATTTTGATATTTGTTGTTCTTTGTCTTCGAAAGAGATGGCTCAGACTCAGGCTCAGGACAAGTCTGACATTCCTCCGGCTCGTGGAAAGGTTCTGTGTAGAGCTCTGAAGGCGATAGCAAGGTTTTTCACATGCTCTTGCAAATCTGAAGAGAATGGATAATTTGCTCATACCATTATTACAACTACATAATTTAGCCCATGTCTGTTTTGTATCCGAGTCTATGCTATACAACTACGTAATTTGCTTCAGCAGCGTTTGTTTTGGTTTCGTGTCAGGAGAGATGAGTGTTGTCTGAATGGAAGGAGTCTTGTTTTGTTACTTACAAATCAATGAATGAACAGGTAATTATGGGCTTATTTGGTTTTGTTTTTGTTTTAATTTCCTGGAAAACACGAGTGTTTTAAGTGAAATAATTTCACAATACCATTCCAGGATCTGTTAATCAAATCATTCTGTTTAATTCATGGAAGACTGTGAAATGGAAAACGGGTAAAAGATGTTTTCAAGAACTTTCATTCTACTAATATAGCAATTTCGTGTTTCTTGAATACAAACAACTGCAAATTTTATTCACCCAGAAAAAAAAAAAACAACTGCAAATTTTAAGGGTGACACCTCCCACCTATCTGTTCAGCTAATCTGGAAGGCTTTCTATCTTTTTTCTGAGATTGAATGCATCAACCAATACTTCAGTTTTCCCAAAAAGCTTATATGCAACTAAGACTGACATTAACATTACATAATACTATGGTTTTCAAATTATGCCATAAAAACTGTTGAACTGCTTTACTTCTACACTTAATAGGAACATAACAAGGAAGAAAACAATACAGTGAAATTATGAAGATGAGTTATTTGGCTTGACATGGCAGAGCTAAGTAAAATCTTATATTCAAGATGTGTTTATCTTTTCTATAACGAATTACAGGCTTCATGGCGTAGGTTCCATCCTTCTGATTAATAACAACAGGGTGTACCAGATTCCAAGAAAATGAAGAACATTTGAGGCATCAGATTGTGCTTTCAGGCGTAACTCGAGTTCAGATTAGCAAACCAGTACAACCCAAACATCTATTCATTCTCTATATCTCTCTCTCTCTCTCTGTGACTAGAAAATATGTGAGATCCCAAAGTTCCTTTCTTCCTCCATGACAGCCAAAGAAGCATACACAGAAACAGCAGACTACTTTATACCCAGCCATTCACATACCTTCAGGAGCTTTCAGTCTTGTCCCCAACCACGTACCGATTTTTAGTAGTACTTGAGCCTGATGAGTGAAGCTGCTTACGCTTCTTCACAAGATGTGATGCAGTTTCCCAGTCATCTAGTGCCTCAACAAAATCAGGCTGCATGCAGCAGTAAACTTATTAAATTTGAGACGGAAATGAATATGTAGGATTGGAAATTGTCCCACTAAAAGGTTTGCAAATGAAACTGATCCTTTTTTTTTCTTTTTTCTTTTTTTAACAAAGCAAATGAAGCTTAGCATGGCCGTATATGATATGAATTTGCTTAACTACAATTGTAAACCTCAAAGGTAAAAGAATCTATAAAGAAAAAAAACATCCAACATTTCTGTGACGTCAGTTTTTGGAGAAGCAATCTCCTACTGCCATGTTAATCTACACTCCTCAGTTATAATGTTGCAAATCCATACCAGGTCGGTGAAGATGATTTCAAAACTAGGGCCAAGATAGAAAATCACATTGGTGACCTGTTTTGAAGTACCTTGATAGCTAACGCTCTGTCAAAGCTTTCAATAGCATTATCAGGCTCCCCAAAGTTTAGTTGTGCTCTACCAAGAGTGATCCAGGCCTGAAAAAAAAAATCCAAGCTTGTCAGAAACATGGTATCATTTTCAAAAAGGCCTGATATTGATGAGCTAGTTTTAAAGTTTTGACTTTCGTGATTTTATTAAAATTGCTTAAGGAAACATTACTAAATGTAGTTGTTCATACATGCTAAATTATGTTTTGTTTTGTGTTTTTGGTTTTGGTTTTTTTCTTCGTAACATGTTTTTTTGTTTTGATTTTTCTAACAAGTATATCATTAACGAGGCACCAAGGGGATACCACATGAATGGTTGAATGGATAAAAGATCATCCACTAAAGCATTCAATGGGATTATCATTGTCCTTCTGATGCCCAAATATGCCCGTCAAAATGAATTCCAAACTTTCATGGATAAATTAAAATTTGCACCAGTACAAGGTCCAAGGAAAGGAATGTAATTCCTCTCCTTCTAAAAAATTGGAGATTGCACGTGCAGTGAAAAAGAAATTGAAGGATGGGAATGATTACCCCTAGAAAAAACATATAAAAATTAAAGAAAAAAAGTAACTGTACTACAGATTTACATCCCAAAACAAGCCTTTAGAGTTTAGATGAAGTATGTAACGCAACCTAACCCGTGTAGTACTGAAGTTGAAGTCTTGAAAAGGTAAGTTTGAATATAAAAATTGAAATATGTAAAATTTTCAAAAATCATTCCAGAAAAAAGGTAAAGAAATATGACCCCCTACACCCCCATCCTAAGAAAATATAGTACGAGCCGGCATCATGAAAAGACACACTTCTTTGTTTAAGAAAACACTTCAGCTGCTTTCAGCCCACTATGGCTTTTTACACTTTCAGAACTTCTTCTGCTTCATTTGTCATCAAAGCCATTGGTCCTCATCCTACTTAGTTTTCATTCTTTTGCATTTAAAATCAAACTGCAATACATGAATGAAGACCGAGGAAAGGGCAGGTCAACAATTAGTTTGTGGCGGCTATACAAGTACCCTTCAGATGAAGGAAGATATTCAATCTATTCAAACCAAATTTGATGAAGTGTTCATAGGTATGCAAATTCATCTTCTCCTAAACCACTAGTAGATAGGGAAGCCAATTTTTGTAAGTACTTGTCAAACAATGCCCAATTATTACTTTGTGGTATAAAAAAGCACTGGGTAAACATTTATATCCACTTCTACGATGACAGAAAAGTAAAAAGTGAAATAGCAAGGGCTTAGTATTTCATATATGAATGCTAACCATGGAGTAAAAAGCACATCCAAATAATAAAGTATAAACAAACCTCAGCCCATGATGGCTCCAATTCAGTAGCTCCTGTCAAATAATTGTAACTCATGAATACAATGTCTACTTGGGTAATATATATGGAAAATAAAGCATTACACAAAAAACAAATTTTGAACTCCAATAACAATACAGAGCTAAAATGATTTCTACAAGCAAAGAAAATCTGAAAATATTTGCAATTTGAACAGGGAACCAAATCTGAAGATTGAAGAAGACATCAAAAATTTTATTTGGGTCCAGCTGCAAAATAATTTCTAAGTAGTAAGCTTCTAAATGATTAGCTAATAACCAAGTGATGTGCCATTAATAACTGCATTATTCAGCGTAATAAAAGAAGTCTACAGTTGTATAAGAAAATTAAGAAGTGGGACTCACGAGTTGCCGCCTTCAACGCATTCCATGCTTCTCCAATTTCAAGTAAAACTTGAGCCTTCTGCTCATGTAAAACTGCTCTTTCTGGCATCAAAGTAATAGCAGCTTCCCACTTCCCAAGAGCTTCATGGTACCTCCCATCCTTCAGAAATGAAAGTGGGAAAGAGTCATTATCAGAATGAGCAAGAAAAAAACGGAATGGAAAATACATGACAGATATATAGAACTACATTTGCAAATGGTCATGCAGCAAATAAATGTCTATGAATGTCTCCCTTTGAATTTTCAAGCATTTGAAAGGAATGACTTTGCGCCTGAGGATGTTGTTTTCAGACAACTACAAGAAATTCAACTGGCTCAAGAATATACCACACCAGGTCATGTACATAGGTTGCAAAAACGGAGCACTGTTGAGCCAAGGATGAAAACCAACCATAATTGTCTTGCAACAGGTTAATTTCTCCGATCTCATATATTATAAATGGAGGAATGGGCTGCCGAACAAAGTCTGTACCCCATGGCAATAAAACTTCTCTACAGCATTAATGGATCAATTTGGAGTGGATATGAAGCATTACATTGTAAATACTGTTTCCATAACTTTAGGAAACTTCAATCTATATATTTCATTCAGTTTTAAAATCCATGAATTGCAAATGTTGTAGCACGGAAGTACAAAAGCAACTATAGGGGTTGGTCAGTCTGGGAATCAATTCTTGTCATTGACAAGGGAGAAGAACACACACAGATACACAGTAAGAAAACTAAAAAATGAGAGAACATACACACTAATTGTAACTCCAACGTATAAGATTTATTTATTTATTTTTCTTATATCAGCTACCTCCATTGCACAAGAATTTCACCAAAAACACAATTTGAAGTCTTACTTTCCCATCTATTTCAGTCAGCTATGAAAGCCCTACTTGCACTTTCAACTCTATCAAGGATCATATTTATAACTAGAACATTGTTGAAGATGCAGAAAAATTCTAATGATTTGACAATGCAGTGGCTTTTGACTACTTGTTCCAAGTTTAAAAGTTTATCAACTTAAGGTTTGCAGAAGAATGGAAAAAAGAAACAAAAGCAGTGGAATAATGGGTCTTAGGTTGGGAAATTGTTTTATAACATAGGGATATTTTTCATCAAGTTGTAAACCTTTGTACACATTATATTTTAGAATTTTTTTTGATAAATAATAACTTTATTAAGAAAGCATTAAGAAGATGCAACAAAACCAAGACAACAAAAGGAAGAAAACCAAACTCGCCTAGCCAATTACATCATCCAAGAAATCTAAGAAAGAAAATATATCTGGATCCACTTTACATTCTAACCAACTATACAAAGTAACCAAGAAACGATCCTCCAACCACAACACCGAACGCTGAAGTCCTTGAAAGATTCTCCTATTGCGTTCCAGCCAGACCAACCGCATTAAACAAAAGGCACCAACGACCACACCTTTCGCCGAGATCTCCCAACTCGGGCCCCCCTCCAACTCCACAACATGCCGACCACCGCCTTTGGCTGCACCCAATAAATCCCAAAAAGAGAACAGACCAACCCCCATAGCCTCCGACGAAGCCCGGCCGGCTCCGTCGAAGTATTCATAACTCAGAGTCGGATTATTTGTAGGAAATGAAAGATTAAAATGGATAGTTTTAATCATCTACAGAGCTTGGAAACCTCATTATGAGGCCTGTGAGCAAGCATGTGCTCGTGAATCGGTGCTGTATGTGCTGTGTAGATGCAGAGACCGTTGATCACTTATTTCTTCATTGTTCTCTTGCTTCTCGTTTATGGGGGTTGGTCTGTTCTCTTTTTGGGATTTCTTGGGTGCAGCCAAAGGGGGTTGTCGACATGTTGTGGAGTTGGAGGGGGGCCCGAGTTGGGAGATCTAGGCGGCGGGTGTGGTCGTTGGTGCCTTTTTGTTTAATGTGGTTGGCCTGGCTGGAACGCAATAGGAGAATCTTTCAAGGACTTCAGCGTTCGGTGTTGTGGTTAGAGGATCGTTTCTTGGTTACTTTGTATAGTTGGTTAGAATGTAAAGTGGATCCGGATATATTTTCTTTCTTAGATTTCTTGGATGATGCAATTGGTTAGGCGAGTTTGGTTTTTTTCCTTTTGTTGCCTTGGTTTTGTTGCATCTTCTTGATGCTTTCTTAATAAAGTTATTAACTTATTATTTATCAAAAAAAATTCTAAAATAAAATGTGTACAAAGGTTTACAACTTGATGAAAAATATCCCTATGTTATAAAATAATTTCCCAACCTAAGACACATTATTCCACTGCTTTTGTTTCCTTTTTCCATTCTTCTGCAAACCTTAAGTTGATAAAATTTTAAACTTGGAACAAGTACTCTCTCACTAGGATATATAGTAAAATTCTTCTAGTTCAGGTCTGAGTTCTGATCTTTACATTGAAATTATGTTATTTTAACACGGTTTCTATCCCTTTTTTCAGTTTCTCCTTTTCCTTTCTTTCTTTGCCTTTATATGTTTTTATTGTTGAATTGCAAAAGATAAGAATACAATTTGCAGCTCATTCAGGTCTAAGGTAGTGTCAATTCCAGTTTGAGAGCATTTCTGCAAGGAGCATCAATGGTCACAGGAAATGGATTGGAACTAATTACAAGACTGCTTCCCCATCTAATATTCCCTCTTTGTTGGAACTATGGATTTTGTAATGGAACTGGCAAAGGAATTCTTTCATATGGAACTGTGGGATAGTAAAGCTAAAGCTTTATGGGTTTTGGTGTAGAGAACAATTATAGAAAGAGTGATTTTTGTAATGGATTTGAAGCAACTTGCAGGAGAGTAGAATAGTCATCTTTTCACATGCATTTAGTGTGAAGGAACCCTCTGAGGTTCACATTTTCAAACTCCTCTGAGGTTCATTATCTGAAACTTCAAACAATCCCATATTTCTTTATAATGATATAACAACTATTTTACCCCATCAGATGGCTGGTTTTATTGAGAAATCTCAAACTAAAAATCCTTACTGGTAGGTAAATTCTGTCACAAAATTCCTTCAATATCTTAAATTTCACAGAGACCAAATGATAGTTTGGAGTGAAGTGATGGACAAGGGCAGGCTTCAACATAAGTATTTATATTTTTTTCAGTAACCAAAACAGGGACAGAAAAATAATTAAAGAACTAGTTACTAAAAAAATCATAACATCTCATTAATCTACCACTCGAGACCTACTATAGACTGTAAACCCATATTTCACCCACTTTATTGAGTGAAAACATATATCTCTATATGAACTAACTGGGAGTGAATAAGTTGGATGAATCAATTTATCAAAATCCACTTATGGCCCAAAGCTTAGCTATTACCTAACATCTTCAATATTCAAACAGAAAACAAATTCCCACTCTATAAGCTGAAGTTTTTCTTCTCAAATTTCTGAAGTTTTTCTAGCCGAAACCCTTTTTTTTTTTTTCTACTGAATTCTCAAATTTCAAACATCTCCAGATACTCAAATTTCCAAGCCTCCCAACCCATATCTCAAATCATTTGTGCTCAAAGACTATATTTAGGGTAGCAGTGGATATCCAAAAGTATTTTGATTATTGGGCAAACTTTGAAGTCACTCCACACATGGTCAAATTTTAGAAACAAACTGGTTGTATAAACATTTGCCCCAATTCCAAACATATTTTCCATGATTTATAACATAGAAGCTAATTAACAACAGAGTTCATCTTCATAACCCCAAATTACAAACAGTCTAATAATTTCAATAAATCAATAATTCCACATACCCACTTCAGAATTTTGTAACTTGCATATGTACTATAAAAATAAAAAAAAATAAAAAAAAATTATCTAAACAATAACAAAAAGCACATATTAACAGAACCAGTAACAGTTGCTATTAAAGAATTAGGGCATATAAAGAAACAACCCATAGAAGGAAAAATAAAAAAGATTTGGAATTTACCTCAGCGAGTTTGTTTCCCTGTGCGTGAAAGGCTTCGGCGAGTTTGGTGTCGTTGTGATGATAGGTTTGAGCTTGCTCGGTGTTATGGTCTGTATCATTATCAGATCTTGGTCGGTCTTCGCTGTTGTTGGTGATGTGATCATCGTTTTGATCGAAAGGGAGGGTTGAAATGGAGAGGAGCGGGCGTTTGTGTTTCTTGTCCTGGTTTTTCCAGGTCAACTTCATCTTCCGTTTCTTTTGTTTTTGAGTCGGTCTGTTCTCCCTCTTTCTTAGCGTGTGGTTTTTAATTCAGGGCTTTGAAATAATTTAGACAAATATATTTTTTAATTTTTTATTAAAAATTCATAAAAAATAGAGGATTGATGTTATTTAAAAAAAATAAAAAAATATGTCAATATAAAAATTAAAAAAAAAAATTGAAAGAAAATTACATAAAAGCCCCCTAAAATATTATCCTAGTAACAAATTAATTTTGTCCAATTCCATTTATTTGAAATAAGAATGAATAATTTATTCTTTTACCCATCATCTTAAAAATAATTTTGTCAATTTAGGCATTTTTTTTTCATTGACTATATAACACATAACCAAAATGACCATTATGTGGCCACCTATCTTTGCATTATTACCAAACATCTTATGAAAATAATGTTATAATTAAAAGAAAAAAATGACATAACTAAAAGTGTATATAGTATATCTATTCAAAATGTGTGTATAGTAGAATTTCTCTATATATGTAGTCTAGAACACTATTTATATATCTAGTTTGGTACATTAGAGCATCTCCAATGCATTACTAAAACAACAGCCAAAGCCATAATTGTTGGTATTTTTCAACAATGATACAAGAAAAATATATAAAATAAATAAATAGAAATGACAAAATAATTTTTATTTATTTATTAAAGGATGAAATGCAAAATAAACGACACAACTAAATACAGAAATAAATTAGATTACATTACTAAAATAATAAATTATTAACATGGATACTAAATATTAGAACTCGTCGAGGTAAACTAAATTTTGAAAAATTAAAGAACAAATAATAAGAAAAGAAGCAAACTGAAGCTTGTGTGATACCACAGTTTCTTTAAAACAGATTCACCACCTCTCGATGGGTGTTGGAGGTGTACGGGCGTCTGCCTTCCCAGATACAACGGTCGAAACCAGCTAATGCAGCAGCACTAGCTTCGGCGAACTTGACAATATCTACACTCTTCTAACAAGAACCAAAGAAAAGGCTAACAAAAGAATATAGGGAAAAATTTTCTTTGGTGTAAAAAATCATCTCCAACTTTTTATTTCAAAACACCATCTCATTTTCCATCACAAAACCTCTCTAAAATTCTTCTTGCAAGTTGAAGGAGAAAGACCTCTATTTATACAAGTAGGGGAATTCCTAGCCATGAAGGCTATACATCAATAAGGCAATCAAATGCCATTAACCAAGGCCATCAACTCTAGCCTTTAGGGATAGAGTTACAAAGGTTGAAAACCTATGACCACTAATATAGTTATGAACTCCATCATCAAAAGATGAGAGTTACAAAGGTCTAAATTTCTCATGTGCTTAATATATACAAATAAATATGTATATAATGATGTTTGAATAAACCAACTAGATGGGTCATAAAATGGATACTAATGTTAGATCACAACTCGATCCAAATCCAATTCTTAAACACATGCACAAGCTAAGCCCAACACAACATAGCTTAGCCCAAGCTTACGATTAAGTCCAAGTCTAAGTTCAAGACCAAACCCAAAACATGCACAAGCACAAGCACAAGTCTAGGCCCAGTCCAAACTAAGACTATGTCTAAATCTAAGCCCAACTTTATTGGTGTCCACTTTATGAGACAATTCTTATTCATAACTCAATAGTTTCAACTCATTATTTTTATATTGTAATCTTCTCATTTGAGATAATACAAAACCACTCAGACCCACCTCAACCGGCGATTGGGTCCCACTTTAATTTCGAACTAAAGTTGTCGAAAAACTATTATTTTCCAATAATCCCCCACATGAATAAAATTGGCCGAATGAAGAAAAACAGACAACGCTTAACAACAAAGACTTTGAGAGAGAGAGCACACAAAAATAACCCTCCATCAGCTGTTGGCCTTGATCCTTTTGTAGTGAAAGCCTATCGAATTTACTAACTGACCAGTGAATGTGATGTCTTGAACTATTCTGCCGTTTGTGTAAACTGAGACAATAGACCTCACACAGGAGTCATTCAACCATTGTTCTTGTTTACTAGTGTGTCCGATTTGGCCTTGAAACACTAGCTTGGTCCAGTGAGTGTTTTTAAAAAATTCGGCCTCGTCAATTCTTAAAGAAGCGGCCTCACTTCGCACTCACATAGGTGACCTACATAAAGTATCTCGCTATACCACGATTGACTATTCATAACACTTAGTTCATTAAAAGCATCAGCTTAACCTTTCACCCCACATGGTATCACTGTATAAAGGAATGAGTAGGAGGATTCACCTCCACAGTGACTCACCTGTTACAAGCAATTAGGTTGTCCCTTTGAACCTAGATCTTGGGATCTCTAGTCAACTAGGTTGGGTTTTCCGTTCCGATAACATTTGCTAAAGGCCTTCACCTCATTCCTTTTGACAACTTTTCTATGAACTCTCTATTTAACCCTTTGGTTAACGGATCCATAATATCATCCTTAGACTGTATATAGTCTATAGTGACAACACACGAGAGTAGTCATCGTACGGAACTATGTCTACGATGAAAATGTCTAGACCTTCCATCTGTGCCTTACCAATACTTGATTGGTTGTCGTAATATATATAAAATTGCTAGCACAAGTTTTGGTCAATATGGAATATTCTCAAGAAAGCGGCAAAGCCATTCAGTTACTTTAGTAGCTTTATCTAAAGCATTGAATTTCAATTCCATCATTGATCTCGTGATATACATTTTCTTAGAAGATCTCTAAGACACAGTTGCAGCTCTAATTTAGAGAAAACATATCCGGTAATAAATGCGCAGTCTTTGTATTAGATATCCAAAAGACGCCTTTGTACCCTTCTAGTACAAATGGATATCAAATGCTATGCAATCGATAATCCTCAGTATAGTGTAAATACCTTAGTACCCGCACAAACGCCCTCTAAAAATAGGCATTGGGATTACTTGTGTATCTACTTAGCATGCTTACTAAGTAGGCTATACATGGCCTTATACACCTTATTAGATACTTTAAACTTTCAATGACCCGAGAATACACTAGTTGAAATACACTTTCACTATTATTCCTGGCCAAATGTAGACATAAGTCTACCAGTGTCCTCGATACACTTGTATCTGATTTACTGAAATTTTCAAGCATCTTATTAACATACAGAGACTAAGAAAGTACAATATTACCAGAAGTTCTAGTAATCTTAATACCCAAAATCACATCTGCAAGGCCTATATTTTTTATGTCAAATTTAGAGTTTAATAACTTCCACTTGGTAATATTGAACATCTTCTCATAACTACCAACAATGAGCATGTCATCTACACACAGACACAAAATGACATATATTATTGTTAGTGTCTTTGACATAAACACATTTGTCAATCCCTACTTGACAACACAGTGTAGTCAAATTTCTTATGCCATTATTTCGGTACTTATTTCAAATCATAAAATGATTCTCAAGCTTACAGTGTTTCCTCATCCTGGAACCGACAAACCCTTCGGGTTGTTCCATAAAGCTTTATTCAACTAAATCTTCATATAGGAAAACTATCTGGACATCTATCTTGATGTATCTCCAGACTTCGCACAATTGCAATCACACTCACCATAACTGGTGATCACGTATCAAAGTAATCCATGCATTTTCTTTACAGGTATCCGTTGACAACAAACATATCTCATCGGCTTTCATTCACTTGCATCCCAAGGCTTACTACCTATGCAAGATAAAGCTAAATTAATAACTTTTTTTTATAGAGAAATCATGGTTTCAAAGAAGTTTTTAGCCTCACTAGCCTCCATATAAGTTTAAGAAGATTTAGATAGAAGAACTTTAAAGTCCTAGCACGTTGACATCTTCTAGGCTCATCTCTTTCCTCATGAAAATCACTTCCTCAATTCCATGATTGCAATCTTATGTAAATCTGAATATCATATTCATCCACAAGAAAACCGATATGCACTACTTTATTATGCATAACCTTTGAACATAAAGTCAATGGATTTTCAGGCCTATCCTACCCGTTTGGGTTTAGGTATTGCCACATTCTGCATGACACCCCCTACATTTGTAGAATTTATACAAAGGCTTTCAGCCTTTTCAAAAATTCATGTAAGGTCTTTAAACAATTCCTTGTGTCACAATGAGTACAAGACTCTCATAATCATATCACAGAAAACACATTCCCAAACCATCATCAACCAAATTATTTCTTTTTCGAATTCAAAGCACCAAACAAATTTGGTTCAATTTGTCACTCTAAAGCTAATAGTCTTAATATTATGAAACACAAATCCAGTGTTCAATAGTCTACTATTCGGAACTTCATAACATGGCCAGTAGTCTTATCGCTAGGAATCACTAATTTCTCAGCATGTGGTCAGTAGATTTTCTATTACTAGGAATCACAATGTTTTGACCTATAATCAGTAGTCACTTTATTAATAGGAATTACAACGTCCTGACATAGGATCAATAGACTCTTACATTACTACGAATCATCATGTCTTGACATATGATCATTAGCCTCTCCACTACTAGGAACCATCATGTCTTGACATGTGATCAGTAATCTGTTCATTAATAGGAACCACAATCTCATCACTGTGTAGCCAGTGGTCTAACACCTCCTAGTAACCACCAATTTTCTATCTCTATGATTAGTAATCTTGTACTCACTAGGAACCACCAATATAAGAATATATTTGGAATTTAAAAAATTTAAAAATATATTCACCCACCTAAACGGGTTGTCTCATCTTTGTTTTCAAGCAAAGTCACATAGCAATCGTACATGCTATAATTGACACAAGCATAACATACTAATTGCCTCTGATTAATTTAGAGATATTATCATGCAATCTTATGATTTCCTTTAATTACACTTAATTTCTCTAGATCGTCCTTTAAGAACCTCGCAAGGCTTAAGGTTGTTAGGTGGAACAACATTTTCTACTATCACCTCTTGAAGCCATTTTTGAAAAATCACAAAAGAATTTCACTATTCTGTTTTTCCAGAAACTAAATTTAACTCTAGAAAATCCCAAAATCTAAAATTTAAT